CCTCCCAGTCGTTCGTGCTCACCCTGGTTTCATCTCCACATGTTTGCAGAGTTGGTTTCTAGCCTCTCGGCCTTGATAGCAAACCACAAAGCAGGCCAGTGGTTGAACATGACCTGTACTCCGGCTTCTAAAATTCCTGTGGCTCCCTTTTGATTGCAATCAGGATATTTAACATTTCACTAACATTAACATTGCAAATAACCACTCTGTTGAAGGCTAGATTCGTGCAGAGCACTTTTGAGAGCATTTGCTGGGGCTCTTTGGGAAAGAATGTAGGTTAGGCCGTCAGTCTGCCTGGGTGCAAATTCCAGCTCTGACCTCAGTTTTCTCATCTGTAAAATGGAAGTTTTAAGAGCCACTAAGTGTCTGGCACACAGAAGGTGCTTGGTAAACACTGTGGCCTTTTGTGACGTCAGGAAAGGAGACAGGCCCAGAGAGGGTATACACCTGGGGAAAGGCAGCCAGGGGTTCCAACCTCCAGGGCTGGGAAGAGTCTTCAGGTGGCTTCCCAAGTGGGCTCGGGGGGATGGGCTGGAGGCGGGGAGTGGGGCCCAAGCTAGAGCCTTCTGGGACCTTGACAGAGCCGGGAGAAGGTGGTGCAGGGCAGAGGCGAGCCTGGGAAGGGCTCAGCTGACGTTCCCGCAGCTTCTGGAGCGGCCGCAGAGCAAGGCCCAGAGGCCGAGACCTGGACTCAAGGTCCCATAGCAGGCTGGGCTTCTACCTCCGAGGTCTGGGCTGACTCCCTGAACCCCTCACCCCCAACCTCCCTGGGCTAACACCCCAGGAAGGGAGACTCTCGAGTCCCAGAGCTGCCACCAGAGGGCTAATCCTCGCAGGAACTGGGATCAAGCCCTTTATTCGCCTCTTCTGACCCAACTGCAGCTGGTTGAGGACTGGGAGCGCCCACAGGGACTGGCGTTTTGAGTCCGTAACTGCTTGTCCCTCCTCCCCAGCTGGAGAGCAAATCCAGTCAACAGGCTTTAAATGTTCCAGTTCCACACACCCCCCCCCCCACCCCCTTTTCTTTCCCTGCAACTCTTTATTTATTTTTGGTTGCATTGGGTCTTTGTTGCTGCACACGGGCTTTCTCTCATTGTCGAGGGTGGGATCTACTCTTCACTGCGGTCCACAGGCTTCTCACTGCCGTGGCTTCTCTTGTTGCAGGGCACGGACTCTAGGTGTGTGGGCATCAGTAATTATGGCAGAGAGACATAGCTACTCCTCAGAATGTGGAGTCTTCCTGGACCAGGGATCGAACCCGTGTCCCCTTCATTCGTAGATGGATTCTTGTCCACTGTGCCACCAGGGAAGTTCCTGATCCAGCCTTTAAACTGGAACCAGTTCCACTTCCACCCCGACCCTGAAAGGCTGGAAGCCCAACCTGTTAGGGCTCCTGTCTCCATATAATTGAGTGGGGGAAGGGGTCACCAGAGTTACCAGCTCGCAGGGCACCTGGTAACTGCAGTCACCCTGGGCCAGGATATAAAAAAATAGTGGTGCAAGCTGGGAGAGTTGTTACAAGCGCAGGCTCCGGGACCAGAGAGCCCAGGTTCGAATCCTGGCTTGTGGCATCTTAAAGGAGCTTATGGGCTTTCCTGGTGGCTCAGATGGTAAAGAATCTGCCTGCAAAGCAAGAGACCTGGGTTCGCTCCCTGGTTTCAAAAGATCCTCTGGAAAAGGAAATGGCGACCCACTCCAGTGTTCTTGCCTGGAAAATCCCATGGATAGAGGAGGCTGGCAGGCTACAGTCTATGGGGTTGCAAAGAGTTGGACACAACTTAGTGACTAAACCACCACCACCACAGGGATTGATGCTTTTGAACCGTCGTGTTGGAGAAGACTCTTGAGAGTCCCTCAGACAGCAAGGAGATCCAATCGGTCAATCCTGAAGGAAATCAAGCCTGAATATTCATTAGCAGGACTGATGCCGAAGCTGAAGCTCCAATACTTTGGCCACCTGATGAAAAGAACCGACTCACTGGAAAAGATCCTGACGCTGGGAAAGATTGAGGGTGGGAGGAGAAGCGGGTGACAGAGTATGATATGGTTGGATGGCATCATCGACTCAATGGACATGAGTGTGAGCAGACTGGGAGATGGTGAAGGTCAGGGAAGCTTGGCGTCCTGCAGTCCATGGGATTGAAAAGAGTTGGACACGACTGAGCAACAACAAGGGTGAGTCAGCAGCACCTCACCTGGGGCCAGGGGAGACAGAAACGAACTTGATCCGGTCTCTGACCTCACAGGGGGAGGGCTGGAGGGGAGACAACTGGGCGGCCAGACCCCACAGAGCAGAGGGGCAGAAGTGTCCAGGGCACCTGGCCGAAGAGGGGCAGGGAGGTGAGGGCTGAGGGGCGTGGCTGTGGGGGGTGGCGGGGAAAGTGGGGGAGGCGAGGTGTGGGTGGGGAAGTGAGTCATCAGCTGGACAAAGGCGGGGAAGGGCAGGAGAGCTGGGCTACCTGGAGAGCAGAGAGCAGCTCTAAGGGTGAATCAGGCAGCTGGGGGTGGGGAATGTTCTGGAAACCAGAGAATTCTGATGTAGGAAGGCCCCGTAGGCTCATTATTCTGAGGACTCTGCCTGGAGAGCAGCGAGGAACCATGAGAGCTCTGTGCTGGGAATGCAGGCCTTCTGGAATTATCTGCCTGCACATTGTCTGAGGAGCACCAGGAGGGCCGGGACAGGCTGAGCAGTCACAGCCTTGCAGGAAGGAGAGTTGGGCTGGGACCGGACAGCTGGTGGCGTGCTCCCACAGTCGGGGGGGAGGAGCTGACAGAGGCCCCAGGAGCTGGAGGAGAACATTGAACCACCCCCCCCACCCCCATCCCCAAGGAGCACGGCATGCCCAGAACTCCCAGGTCTGTCTTCAGCCATACACCTGGGCCCTGCTGGCCACCTGCTGCACTGCCTGGGGGTGACCGTGGGTGACACCCAAGAACGGGCAACATGGACACGCGTGTGAAACACTCAAGTGTGTGTGTCACTCCAAGTGACACGTGTGCACAGCACCGGAGGGTGCAGAGACCAGTCACCTTGCCTGTGTTGGGTGACGGAGCTCATCACACAGTGGTCAGGAACTGCGCGTCCCCTACACGCTGGCCCTTCTCTCCGATGGAGATGCTTCCCAGGTTGCCGCGGCCCTGGGAGGGTCAACCCCCTCCTGCAGGCAGCCCTCCAGGGTGGATCTTGGAGGTGTGGAATCTCATCTTCCTCTCTGGACTTGGAACTCCTCTTTGTGTCCTGGCAGCTCTGAGGGCATGGAGCTTTTTCAAGGCCCAGCCCAGCCCTCATCCTCTTTGAGACAGTCTGGGAAGGGCTGGGGCTCCCCAGCGGCCACCCGGGCCCTCAGTAACCACAGCACAGCTTCCCTCTCACTGTGTTTATTTGTCTCAAGGGCAGTCCCTCTCCCGGGGGAGGCTGGGCTCATATTTTGCGGCTTCCAAAGATGGGCCGGTTCACATGCTCCGGGGAGGCCAGGAAGGCCTTGAGCTTGGGCCGGGCGCTGAGGCGGGCCACATAGGCTGAGAGCAGGGGGAAAGGGTCCAGGCAGCCGGGGACAAGCACCTGATGATTGAGCAGCAGGTCCAGAAGGTTGTAGTCGGCGAAGGAGATCTGCAGGGCAGGGGCGGAAGAGCTTGAGTGGGATCAGGAGACAGGGCAGGCGTCTGGAGCATGCAGAACACTGGCTGCTCCAGGGAGCCAGTTCACAGGCCCTCTCTGGGCCTCGGTTTGCCCATCTGAGAAATGGGCCTCCGATGGCTGGACCCAGCGCTCACCTGGTCACCCACGATGAAGGCCTGGCCCCCCTGATTCTGGGATAGCAGGGTCTCAAAAGGCTTCAGGTGCGCCGGCAGCTCCTGAACATATTGGGCTTTGTCCGCCTCCTGCAAAAGGAAGTGATGCCCGTGGTGGTCTGTGGTGGGCCTGGCCCTGTGCGGTCTCCCCACCCCAGCCCTGAGCGCCAGCCTGGACGGCTTACACGCTTGTGGTGGATAAGGTGGCTGCAGCATCTGCGAAGGTCCTCCAGGCCATCGTTCACCATGTCCACCAGTGCCGCCTCCCGCTCATCTGCACCGTAGAGCCCTGCATCAGCGGCCGGGCGGAGGGTCACGTTCTGTCTGGGCTGGCATCCCGCCCACTCAATGCTCCCCTCTCCCCCCAAACCTGAAGCCCTCAGGTCTGGGCACCCAGGTCCCCTGTGCTGGGGGATGCCCTCTGCCCAATTCTGCCACTCCCATCTCCACAAGCCCAAGGAACATACCAGCAGGAGCCCAGGCGCCTGGGTCTCACCGAAGTCAGGGTGGGCCTGGGCCTGGCTGCTCCCACTCCCCTTCCCTGACTTCCCTGATGTGGGATCCCCTTCCCACAAGCTAGCCGAAAAAGAGGCAGCCACCTCCCCAAGCCACATTCCTGCCACCTTTGAACAAGGCCACGGGCCTGCTCATTGAGTGCCCCAGCTTTCCAGATTCAGGTGAGGCCAGGGCAGGAGGAGACCGGCCTTGCAGCTCCTGGTCACACCCACAGTGACTCTAGCCTACAGCAGCACGCACCATGTGGGGGTCAGTGACCACCTCTGAGCTGTCATCCAGGAAGCAATGAACCCAGGAGGGCTGCCGGCACAAGCCATGTGGCCCCTGCCCCTGGGGGGACTGGAGACCCCAGCTCTGTAACCTAGAGCCCTCCTAACCCAGGCCCTGCCCTTTCCCAAAGGGCCATCTGGCCCGTCCCCCAGCTGTAGGACCGGATCCTGGGACATCTGGGTGGGACCCTTCAGGTGCTTTCCTGGACTGGGCTGCCTTCAGCCTCGGGACTCACCAAAGGAGCGGCCCAGGTGTCGCAGGATGGCATTGGACTGGTACAGGGTGAGGTCTCCGTCCTGGAACTTGGGGAGCTGCCCGTACAGCTGGGGGTGGGGGAGGTGGGGCACAGTTTGGTGAGGGACACTGAGCTTAGCTGCCCCCTCCTCAAGGGCTGCCCCACCTGTCTGGGCGCCGTCACTCACGCAGGAGGCCTTGAGTGGACCCTGCAGCCAGCTCTCCTTGGTGACCACCTCCTCCTTCCAGCTCTGGCCCTGGTCGGCCAGCAGCATGCGCAGGGCCTCACAGCGCCCTGGGGGAGGGGAGGACGGGGCAGTGGGGGTGGGCGGAGAGCCCAGCCTCACAGCAGCCCCCTGGGGAAGTCAGGAGTGGATGGGAGCTGGATGCGGAGACAGGACACAGACTAGATTCTGAGCCCGCTGAGAAGATGAGCTGAGGATACAGAGTGGGCCCCCACAGCGTCTGGGCCAGGGGGACAGGGGTGGAGGCCCAGCCCACTTCGCCCCAGGAAGGAATAGAGAGCACCGCCCGCGAGCCCCCGCCCGGACAGCCGACTCCGCGGCGGGACCCGAGCCCGAGATCCCGCCCCGCCGCCCCGGGGTCCCGCCTCCGCCTCGGGCGCTGTCCAGTCTGCGCGTCCTGCCGGGGCCCTTCGCCCTCCTAAGGGAGCAGCGGCCGCACCTCGGGTCGGGAAGTAGACGATGGTGTAGGGCGGCACTAGGATAGGCAGACAGACAGAACGCTGCGGGAGGAAGGAACCCCAGGGGCTGGCAGCCCGGCGCTCAGGCCGCCCGGAGAGCGGGGTGGCTCGGCCTGCGCCTCCACCCGCCCGGTCGAGACCCTACTCACTGGAGGCCTCGGCGGAGTTCAAGTGTGGCAGGAAGTGGGGAGGACCCGGAGGCCTTATATTTAAGGTCCTGCTCCACCCCGGCGCCCCACCCCGGGAATCCGCCGAGTCACCGAGCGGGGTTGGGGCGAGGTGTGGGTGTGGTGAAGCCGGGCCGTGGGGCCCACCGGGTCTCTGCAGCCCTGCACCCACCTGCTGCTGCAGCGGTTTTACAAGAGGCTCCCACACTCAGCACGGAGCAGCCACTACCGGCCTCCTCACCACACCTGAACCCAGCATCCTCAGGGCCCCCAGAGGGCCAGGGCTGAGCGTCCCAGCACCAGCACACAGTAGGTGCTCCCTAAATGCTTTTTGCTTGAATGAATGCTATTTCAATAAACACCCATTTCCGCAGCCTCTCTCCTTGATAATAATAGCAAACCCTCAGGGACTGAGGGCTGCCACTGAGAAATTTACACCTTTTACAACCCTGAACCCTGTTCAGATCCCATTTTACAGAGGAGGAAACTGAAGCACAGAGTGACGTTCCCAAGGTCAGAGTGTGAAGACGTCAGGTTGGCTTCGGGGCATCACTTTCAACCCTCACTCTTTCTTCTGCAGGGCCTTGTTATGTGACTACGTCTAAGGGCTCTGTGAAACAGGAGAGGGAAAAAGTTGGCTTAAAGCTTAACATTCAGAAAACTAAGATCATGGCATCTGGTCCCATCACTTCATGGGAAATAGATGGGGAAACAGTGGAAACAGTGTCAGACTTTTTATGGGGCTCCAAAATCACTGCAGATGATGATTGCAGCCATGAAATTAAAAGACGCTTACTCCTTGGAAGGAAAGTTATGACCAACCTAGACAGCATATCAAAAAGCAGAGACATTACTTTGCCAATAAAGGTCCACCTAGTCAAGGCTATGGTTTTTCCGATGGTCATGTATGAACGTGAGAGTTGGACTGTGAAGAAAGCTGAGCGCCGAAAAATTGATGCTTTTTAACTGTGGTGTTGGAGAAGACTCTTGAGAGTCCCTTGGACTGCAAGGAGATCCAACCAGTCCATCCTAAAGGAGATCAGTCCTGGGTGTTCATTGGAAGGACTGAAGCTGAAGCTGAAACTCCAATTCGTTGGCCACCTCATGCAAAGAGTTGACTCATTGGAAAAGACCCTGATGCTAGGAGGGACTGGGAGGGGGCAGGAGGAGGAGGACGACAGAGGATGAGATGGTTGGATGCCATCACCAACTCGATGGACATGAGTTTGAGTAAACTCCGGGAGTTGGTGACAGGGAGGACACCCTGGCGTGCTGCGATTCATGGGGTCGCAAAGAGTTGGACACGACTGAGCGACTGAACTGAACTGAAGGGCTCTGTGAGGGCTTCCCAGGTGGCTCAGTGGTAAAGAATCTCCCTGCCAATGCAGGAGACATGAATTCAATCCCAGGGACGGGAAGATCCCCGGGAGAAGGAAATGGCAACCCACTCTAGTATCCTTTGCCTAGGAAATCCCATGGACAGAAGTGCCTGGTGGGCTATAGTCCGTGGGGTTGCAAAGGGTCAGACATGAGTTAGTGACTAAGCAACAACAAAGTGCTCTTCAAATGCAGGCTGAGCCCAGGGATACGGCTGAATGGAAAGACAGATGAACTGGAGTGAGCACGACTTTCTGGACCTGGGAGGGCTGTGTCTTTCCAGGCGGGGCCTGTACCAGCCTCGCTACGGGCCCATCTGCACCCGCAGCCCGATTCTCCTGGCTGCCCCTTCCTGGTGCTGGGAGTGGCGGTGGGTGGGGTCCTCTTGGGAACTGGCACCTGACTGAGCCTGCTTTTCCCATCAGAGCCACCAGAAAGAGGAAGCTGTCCTTCCGCAGGTGCAGAAGTACCTAGCGCAAGCGTGGGAAAACATCAGGCAAGCCCGATTAGGAGCATCCCTGAGCCTCATGGAGCCCACAGCTGCCTGGGTCTGGGAGGGGGTGGGCGAGGTGGCCCCAGAGCTGGGATCTATCCCTGACTCACAGCTGCAGGAACATCTGCCCAGCACTTAGCAGCTTACAAAGAGCTTTTGCATAAATGGTTTCATGTCATCTCTACCGCAGCCTGGGAGGAAGGGGGTCGTGTTCCCATTATGCAGAAGAGGACACCAAGGCTCAGAAAGACTCGGTTACTGCTCTGGCCTGGAGCACGCCTGCGCACCTTCTGTGCACAAGCATCACACACCTGGGAGCTTGGAGACATGCTGACAGCCAGCAGACCTCCCGCCAGCTCACACCCCAGCCATCATGCTTGGGCCCGCTGGGCAGGCCTTAGCACCATGCTGCAGTGTTCTGGTGACTGCTTTTACCCACAGGCCTCTGGCTCCCCCAGCCCAGCCTGTGGTCTAGCTTTGCGGCCACCCTGGGGCCTCTTCCTCTGAGGCCCAGAGCACAGCTTTCCCAGTCGCATGGGGCAGGCAGCTTCCTGTGTCCGTCCCCCGCCTCCAGTCCATGTATATGTCAGCCCCTGTCTTTGGTGGGGTTTAAAGTATATGTAAGAGCTTTATTGCTACACAAAATTCACCCTTATAAAGTGTCTGTTCTGTGGGTTTTGGTATACTCAGTGTTGTGTGATCATCACCACTAATTCCAGAGCATTTTCATCACTCTGAAAAGAAACCCTGGACCCATTAGCCATCACACCTCATTCCTCTTCCTGCCATCCCTGCCTAGAGAATCCCATGGACAGAGGAGCGTGGTGGGCTACAGTCACAAAGAGTCAGACACAAATGAGTGACTAACACGCGTGCACACAATCTATTTTGTCACTATAGATTTGCCTCTTCAAGATATTTCATATAAATGGAATCATACATGATGTGGCCTTTCACATCTGGCTGCTTTCTCCAATATAATGTCTTCAAGCTTCATCTATGTTGTAGGATGGGTCAGGACATCATTCCTTTCTATGGCCAAATAATATTCCATTATCTGGACATACACATTTTGTCTACCCATTTATGTATCAATGAACATTTGGGTTGCCTCATTTTTTGACTGTTATGAGTAACACCTTCCCTGATAGCTCAGTTGGTAAAGAATACGCCTGCAATGCTGGAGACCCCGGTTCGATTTCTGAGTGGGACGATCTGCCGGAGAAGGCATAGGCTACCCACTCCAGCATTCTTGGGTTTCCCTGGTGGCTCAGCTGGTAAAGAATCCGCCCGCAACACAGGAGACCTGGGTTCAATCCCCTGGAGAAGGGAAAGGCTACCCACTCCAGTATTCTGGCTTGGCGAATCCCAGCGCCTGTATAGTCCATGGGCACAAAGAGTCAGACACATCTGAGCAACTTTCACTTTATGAAAGTTGTAACAGTGCTACACACAAATTTTTGTGTGAACTTATCAGTTCCCTTGGGTATATATCTAAGTGTGAAGTTGCTGAGCCATGTGGTAACTCATTTTGAGGAACTGCCAAACTGTTTTCCAAAGTGACTTCACCACTGTATAAGCCCAGAAGCTGGCTGTGAAGGTTCTAACTTCTCCACATTCTCACCGATGATTGTTATTCTTTGTCTGTTTCACTGTGGCTATCCTGGTGACCGTGAAGTGATATCTAAATATGGATCTGTGTATCTTAAGTGGTATCTTACCACGGGCCAAGCCTGGGTTTGGCTTATGGGGAGCAGGGTAGAGAAGAAGTCATCATCTTTTCCTTTAGGGGAATCACAACTCAACTCAGAGTAGGAGGAGATAGACACAAGTCTTTTTTTTTTTTTAAGAAATTCTTATTAGGTTTTTTTTTTTTTTGGACTGTGCTCTGGAGCATGTGGGATCCTAGTTCCCTAACCAGGGATCAAACTCACAACCCTTGCATTGGTAGTGCAGAGTCTTAACCATTGGACCACCAGGGAAATCCCCAAGCAAAAGTCTTTATTCACACATTAATTAGTCTGTCTCAGCAATGATTGGACCAGACATCAGGGGAGACACTGAAACAAGTAAAATATGGTCTTTACCCTAATGAACTCTTTGAATAAAGAATGTAAGACCTTCAACAGCAAGTCCATCCACCCAGCCATCTCTCCGCCTCCACTTATTTGTCTGTCCATCTAGATACCCATCTACCCAGTTATTCAGTTGGTAAGGAATCCACCTGCAATGGAGGAGACCTTGGTTTGATTCCTGGGTTGGGAAGATCCTCTGGAGAAGGGATAGGCTACTCACTCCAGTATTCTTGGGCTTCCCTTGTGGCCCAGCTGGTAAAGAATCCGCCTGCAATGCAGGAGACCTGGGTTCGATCCCTGGGTTGGGAAGATCCCCTGGAGAAGGGAAAGGAACCCACTCCAGTATTCTGGCCTGGAGAATTCCATGGACTGTATAGTCCATGGGGTCACAAAGAGTCAGACACAACTGAGCGACTTTTGCTTTTACCCAGTTATTCAGCCATTCAACAACCAAACATTAGACCAGTAGTCCATCAAAACATCTGCCTGTCCATTTACCCACCATTTCATTTACCCAGCCACCACTCATTTACCTACCCAATCATCCTCTACTTGTCTATCCCTCCATCTTTTTATTCACCCATCTATCCATCCAACCAACCATCTGTCTATGAAACCATTAGCCCATCAAATCATCTACCCATCCTTCCATGCAGTCAGTCACCCAACTGTCCATCCATTCATTCATCCAACTTCCCATCTATCTACTCAACTATATATTCACCTGTCCATTCATTCATCCTTCCATCCATGTTTGTCTATCCATCCATCTTCTCAATTGTTCATCCTTCTCACCACCAACCATTCAAACATCAACCCTTCACATCATCTGGCAACCAATCCAACCACTCACTTATCTACCAAACCATCCATCCATTTGTTTGTCCACCACTGATCCACCTGGTCATCTTGGACCCTGGAGCCAGACATGAAGCGTTTGCTACTTCATTGAAAACGCTTCCAGCCCACATACCCTGACCAGTAATAGTCCCCACTTCTTTGGCTTATACTTTGGGACACATTTCTCAACATTTCCCCACCTTCTTAGGAGGTTATTTGGACATGGATTCTTTCATCTCATGTGACATCCACAGTTTTTTGAGCCCTTCCAATATGCCAGGAATCTGATTGGTCTTTTCTCATTTAATTTTCACAAAGGCACCATGAGGCAAATACTAGGTCAACCCCTACTTTCCAGATAAGGAAACTTTCTTACCCACTTTCCATAAGGAGAGTAAGACTCAGAGAGGTGAAATACCTTGTGTAGGGTCACACAGCAATTGCAGTGGGGATCCCAGGCCTGCAGGTCTGTTCTAAGACCGTGCAGAAAACAGGAGAATTCTCTGAGGGATGTTTGCAGTCCCGCTGGGGATGCTGTGCACGCCTGGCCTCTGGGAGGAGCTGTGACTCAGGGTGCAGAGGGACTGAAGGATGCTGAAGCTGAGCCTTCAAATGGTCAACGTGAATGGTCACAATGAGCCACCACTGACCACCAGCCGGCATCCACTTGCCTCTCAACCCTGGCCTTTGCTCAGATTCACTCAGGGCTTTGTGGAGGCTGTTCCCTCTGCCTGCAAGTCCACCCACCCCTCTTCATGCAGTCACTCCCTTCATCCCTCTGGTCTCAGCTCACAGGTCACTTCCCCAGCCCCTGTCACAGCAAGGTCCCCACGTTCTTCCTCTGACAGCCGGCCAGGCCCTTCCCTGCACTCACCCCTCCACAGCCTCTCTGGGTTTGCTGAAGGTGCAAACCAGGTGGGAGGGTCCAGAAAGGCACACAGCAGGGGGTCCACAAACATTTGCTGGACTCTCCTGGGAGTTTTCTCCTACCTCTTGCAGCTTTTGCAGGGGGTTACAAGCCCTTCCGCCCTCCTGAGGGCCTCCACCCACAGACCCTGCTGGATTCCAGTGCCCATGTTCACAGCTGGTCCCTGCTGGGACCCTGGGACTAGCCCAGGTACACATCAGTGGGCAATGCCTAGAATGCTGCCCATCTGCCATCTCCTCCATGATGCCTTCCTGATGCCTGGGTCCATGCCTCAAAGCTCTTGAAGACTGTCTCTTGGCACTTTTCTGAATTAGATGTGCCTGAAAACAGGGCCCTCAGAGGAGACAGGGTCTGTCTTGTTGGCCCGGGGCTGGATCCCAGCAGACCTCGGGTGTTTGCAAAAGAAATACATGAATGGATGGCCATGCTGTGGCCAAGAGAGGCCAGCGCCACCAGCTCAGGTGGCAGGTTCTTGGTGAGATCTGGTTCCCTTGGACAAAGGCCGGTGCGGGGGGCAGGTGAATAAATCATGAGCGGCCTGGAGCAGGGCCAGGGCAGGACAACTGACCTCATTCTGGGAGGTGAGGAGCCGGCAGCTGGGCGGTAAGTGGGCTGGGGGGCAAAACCTTGGGGGGAGGGGCGCACAAGATTTATCTCTGCAGGCTGCCTGGCCCACCCCCACACTTCTCCCTGAGAAGCAGGAAGTTGGAGGTTGGCACAGGTTAGGTGGGAGGTGCGGGCGGAAGTGGGGAGGTGGACAAGTGCAGAGATACCCCAGGGCTCTGGGTAGGGGAAAGAGGGGCAGATCTGGTATGGGGCTTAGGGGGATGGTCTTTCCAGAGTCCAGGCGCCATCCTGGGAGAGGGCATCCTACGGAGAACAGGAAGAGCAAGAATGCACAGACAGAAAGAGGGACAGACCGATGTGGGGAAGAGTCTCACCCAACAGAGGGAAGAAACTGACAAAGAGATGGGCACGGGCGGGCAGAGGGACCCACGGGGACACTGCTGGGCAGATGTGAGCAGGGGGCAGGGGGCGGAGCGAGAACTGCAGGTGAGACAGACACAGAGAGACCCCCGGGGCAGAGGGGCCAGGGAGGGGCAGAGAGCAATACAGACTCAGAGGGGAGGGGCATATGGGCAGATGGGCAGGGAGGCCGCTGTGACGCGAGGAGCCCTGGGCATGGTCTGTGGCAGCCTGAATGTGGCGGGTGGCAAGGCAGGGTTTCAGGGAGGGGCTGTGCGAGGGGTCCGGGGAGCCAGGAAAGACAGGGTACTTGGAGGGTCTGGGGCCCACCAGCCCCTGGAGCCGGAATCAGGAAGAAGAGTAGCAGGGACCCTGCGGGGACCACACCCGCAGCTGCCCACAAAGCCACCCTCCCACAGGCCCTGGGAATGTGGAGTGGGGCAGTGCCCCTCAGACGGCAGGAGGTGCCAAGCGCTCGTCTCCATGGCCCTTCCCCAGGGCCCGGCAGATGGCAGCCTCCCCACAGGGGACCCCACCCCCTCCGAGGGCACTCCAGGGCCTAGCCGGGCCCCTGCCAGCCCAGCAGCCACCAGGCGGCGGGCGCTTCTCCGGGAACTGGAGGCTCAGGTGCAGGCCGCCTACGGGCAGGTAAAGGGGGCCGGGGTGTGGGGTCATCCTCAGCTGAGGGCACTGTGGGGGAACAGCGAGGACCCCACGGCTTAGATGGGACCCCATCAGACAAACCCAGGGCTGAACCCAGGGAGGGGAGCTCAGACACTCACGCTGATGGAGAGGCCAGCAGCCGCTCAGCTGCCCAGAGGGAGGCTGGCATCCCCACCCCCACCTCTGCCATCACTGAGCCCTGTTTCCAGCCCACGGAGCCCAGAGTCAGCTGTCCTTGGGTCCTCACCCAAGTAGCAGGGCCGGGACAGGTCCAGGCAGGGGTGCCAAGGGCAGGCAGGCCGGGCGGATGCTCTGAGGTAACAGCAGGGGTCCAACAGGGAGGGGCAGGTGCTTCCTGGGTCTGCCATTCCTGGGAGAGATGACCCAGCTCACCCCGGCAATCAAGGCACTTGGCTTCCTCCTCCAAGTTCCAGGCCCTGGTTCTGAAGACATTAAATCTCTCCAGATTGGGTTGGGGGGAGAGGATGCTGGAGAGGGAGTGTCTGAAAGACCCTCAGGAGTGAGCATGGGGAGGCTGTGCCTTCCAGGGGGGGCCTTGCGCCCCGAGTGGCCCCCCTCATCAGCAGAGATGCTCAGAGATAATCCCGGATTAGGACCCAAGCCCCTGTGTCCCGGGCTCCCCGCCTGCCCACCCGCCTGCGATCTTCCCCACAAAACCCTCGGAAAATCCCCTGCAGTGATCCCAGACTCTCACTGGGAGCAGCTGGGGGCCAGTGGGAGCCCACAGCATCCTCTGAGGCCCAGCCCTGGACTGCCCCCGGGACTCCAGGCCTGGCATGGTTCAAGGGCCCATGGGAAACTGTGCCAAGCGGCCCCGGCACCGGGGACCTAAGGTATGAGGGTTAAGGGGGAGAAGCCAAAGCCGGGAGGCTGGGCTGGACCCTGAAATTGTCTGATGGGGTGGGCTGGGCCCAACTGGGGTCGCAAGTGGGCAAAGCAGCGGGATGGAGGGGTTGGCACCCACCGCCGTCGACCAAGGTCTTCCCTGGCAGGCCCCAGACTCTGACCCTCCTGGTCTTGGCTCCTGCAGACCTCTGGGTCTCCCCCTGCCAAGCTCGTCAGGCCCCCTACCCCGGCTGCCCATCCAACTGCCCCCTTCCTGCTGCTGCCCCTGCCCTCTGGAGTGACCATGGCCTTGTGCCTTGCCCCTTTTCTGGGCCTCGGTTTGCCCCACTGAACAGTAAGGGAGCGGCCCCTTCTAGTAGAGAGTGTTGATGGTGAGGTTCCACTGTCCTGTGCTGGGTTCTAATGACGGGAGAGGCTGGCAAGTGAGGGTGGAGAGGCGTCACTGCCCCAGCTCATGGCTGGCTCTGCTGCAGGACCGCTGCCAGTGGCCTGGCTCCCCCCCAGGGGGGTCCCGCCACGGCCTGGGCCCCAGCCCCAGCCCCAGCCCCAGTCCCGAGGAGCCAGGGGCCCCTGGGCCTGGCGTCCAGGGCTTCTCCGTGCTCAGCAGCGTGGTGGGGCCCGCCTGCATCTTCCTGCGGCCCAGCATCGCCGCCACCCAGCTCGTATGTACGGCCACCACCTGCCTGCCTCCGGCCCCCACCCTTGCCCCCAGGTTTTGCCTCTCCTTGAGCGCGGGGAGAGGACTGAGTGGGGGTCTCACAGCAAAGGCTCGCGGATCTAGGGGTGTGGGGGACAGAGAGGCGTGGAGAAGCAGACATAAGATCAAAACAGGGGGGGCCTGGAGAAACAGGCCAGGAAAGAGAGGAGAGTGGGGCAGAGAGCGACTCGGAGAAACGGCAGAGACAGGATCCACCAAGGGGACGGGCAGGGAGGGGACAGGGCCCCCAAAGAGGAAGAGAGAGAACAAGAGAGACGTGGTGACCCCGAGGCCCCCATGGCCAAGCCCGAGGGTCTGCCCAACCCCAGCTCCACCTCCGGCTAATAGAGCTCCAGGAGGCGGGGCACAGGGGACAGGGAAGGGGGGCCCAAATGCCCAACCCATCAGCAGGAATGGTGGGAGGCCAGGAGTGCCTGCATGCTGTGCGGGCTGAGTGGGGGACCCCAGAGAACAAGAATGAGGAGGTGCTGGTACCTGGGGGGTTGTCCAGGGAATTCTTAACCCCTCTGTCTCCCCTCAGGACCGGGAGCTGCGGCCTGAGGAGATTGAAGGTAAAGGGTTGGGGACAGAATGAGACTTTCCGGGTTGGGGGCACTGGGTGGGGGTCTGAGCAGTCTCCAGGAGGAACTGGGAGCAAGCAGGCTGCAGGGGATCCGAGCAGGAAGACAGGGACCAGACAGAGCAGGGCGGGGTTGAGAACCCCCAGCAGTCAGTTTCCTGGTTCTATTTTTCCTGTCCCCTTTAATTCATCCAGCGAACACTTCCTGGGTGCCCGCTGTGGGCCTGGCCCAATTCTGAGTACTGGGAAACGTGGCCAACCAGATAGATCTGGCCTGTGTCCTCTGGAGAGAGATGTCAACAGGTCAATTGCCAGTACAAATGGTGCTATGTGCTCTCAAGGAAATGATCAAAGGAGCCAGAGGGGACTGAATTGAGAGGGAAGACCTCCTTGAATAGGTGGCATAAAGACCAAGAATGTTCCAGAATGTGAGCTCCATGAGGTCAAGGATTGTTTTTCCCTCTCTTTCTTTCTCACCTCCTTCACTCTCTCCTTTCTTTCTCTCCTTCCTCTCTTCCTTCCTTCCTTTCTTTCTCCCTTTCTTTCTTCCCCTCCCTCTCTCTTTCTCTCCTTCATCTTTTTCTTTCTTCACTGCCACATCCCCAGTACCCAGAGCAGCGCTTGGCACAGAGCAGATGTCCCTTAAATATCTGCAGAGTGAATTAAGGAATAGCATATGCAAAGGCCCTGGGGTAGCAAAACAGAAACGGCTGTTTAGAGAGCATGGACATGACTGGACCAAGGTGAGAAGGTCTAATCCAGGCTGGGGTCCCAGGGGACATGCAGAAAGGACTGACTCCACCCTGCCTGGCAGAGCTGCAGGCCGCCTTCCAGGAGTTTGACCGAGACCGGGACGGCTACATCGGCTACCGGGAGCTGGGGGCCTGCATGCGGACGCTGGGCTACATGCCCACCGAGATGGAGCTCATCGAGATCTCCCAGCAAATCAGTATGTGCCTGAGACCTGTCCCACCCCCAGTTCTCCAGAGGCCATGGCCAGGGTCAGGGCAGCTGGGGAGCCCAGGGAACCGAGGTGTCTACACAGGTTGGCTCGCAGAACCCGGGACTTTGGTCATTCTCACGGCAAGCTCTCTGCCTCCAGAGAATCTCACCATCCCCCGTGAGGCAGGTGGGTCAAGCGCCAGCAGGCCCACTTTTTGGTGAGGGAACAGTCTCCACTAGTGGTAAAGAAACTGCCTACCAATGGAGCAGACTTAAGAGACCAGGGTTCAAACCCTGGGTTAGGAAGATCCTCTAGAGAAGAAAATAGCAACCCACTCCAGTACTCTTGTCTGGGAAATCCCATGGATAGAGGAGACTGGCGGGCTGCAGTCCATGGGGTCACAAAGAGTCGGACACAACTGAAGCGACTTAGCACGCAGTCACAGTCTCTGAAAGGTTCCCGTGACTTGTTTAAGGTCACACAGCCGAGCCACTGGAGCCAGGAATTGAGCCCAACTGAGCTCTTCAGGAAAATTAAGGGAAGCCAGCAGGAGACACAGCCTAGGAGACCCAGAGGGAGGGAAAGGCCCATAGAGTGGGGCGGGGAGAGGGACACAGGCCAGGAGGGGAGGGTGGAGGAGGCCAGGGCTGGGCAGGGGTCTCTGATGGTTCCGGGTCTCTTATGGGCGTGGCCCCCAGGTGGCGGGAAGGTGGATTTTGAAGACTTTGTGGAGCTGATGGGCCCCAAGCTGCTGGCGGAGACCGCGGACATGATCGGTGTCCGGGAGCTTCGGGACGCCTTCCGGGAGGTGGGGTCCCCGGGGCCGGCGGGGGCGGGCCTGCGTGTCTGCGGTGAGGGAGGGGCCGCGCTAATTAATGACTCGGTCCGTGACCCGGTGTCGCCGCAGTTCGACACCAACGGGGACGGCTGCATCAGCTTGGGTGAGCTCCGGGCGGCCCTGAAGGCCCTGCTGGGAGAGCGGCTCAGTCAGCGGGAGGTGGACGAGATCCTCCGCGACATTGACCTCAACGGGGACGGCCTGGTGGACTTCGAAGGTACCGCCCACCGCTCCCCTACGCTCAGCACCGCGGACCCTGCACGAGTTTTCACCGAGGAAGAGCCGCAAGGCTCTGCGCTAAGCACACCTACGTCCTCTCCCAGCTAACCATCAGGAGAACCTAGGAGGAAGCTACGCTTAACTCCATAAGGAGGAGGAAGTCTTAGGGAGGAGAAAGTTCTTAGAGAAGCGAGGGTGCTTAGCAAAAGAAGTGGATGGAGCCAGCATCTAGATCCAGGAAGCCTACCCATTCCCAACAGAGGGAAAACAAGGATTAAATAATAAAAGGAAGCCGAGGAAAGTAAAGTCTTCCCTCATAGCTCAGCTGGTAAGGAATCCGTCTGCAATGCGGCTAATCCTGGTTTGATTCCTGGAGTCGGGAAGATCTGCTGGAGAAGGGAAAGGCTACCCACTCCAGTATACTTGGGCTTCCCTTGTGGCTCAGCTGGTAAAGAATCTGCTCGCAATGTGAGAGACCTGGGTTCGATCCCTGGGTTGGGAAAATCCCCTGGAAAAGGGAAAGGCTACCCGTTCCAGTAATCTGGCCTGGAGAATTCCATGGACTGTATAGTCCATAGGCTCGCAAAGAGCCAAACATAACTGAGCGACTTTCACTTTCAAGGAAAGTCAGGGCTTCCTTGGTCACTCAGATGGTAAAGAATCTGCGTGCAATGCAGGAGACCAAGGTTCAATCCCTGGGTCAGGAAGATCCTCTGAAGAAGGCAATGGCTACCCACTCCAGTATTCTTCCTTGGAGAATTCCATGGACAGAGGAGTCTGGTGGGTTACAGTTCATAGGGTCGCAAAGAGTCGGACACGACTGAGCGACTAAACACACACAAGGAAAGTCAGTGTGTAGAAATTCTCCAAGGTAGGCCCAGAAGTGTTCCCGAGCTTCCTAGCAGCCAAAGCAAAGAGGAAAGTAGGTTCAGTTACAAGATTTTCTTCCCCCCAGAAGACAAAGCCCCTCTTCCTGGCCTATTCTCCACCAAATTCAGGGGACTCTGTTGCAGGCCCTGCCCTTGACCACACTCCCTCCCACCTCGAAGCCAGTATCTTCGCCTCACTCCACGGGGTCGAGGTCCAGAGAGCAGACTGAAATGTTGGCTTTGTCCTGGCAGAGTTTGTGCGAATGATGTCTCGCTGAGCCTGCACAGAAGCTGGAAGCAGCAGACAGGACTTGGGACCAGAGCCACTGCCTGCCAGTGTGTTCCTGGAGCCCCGACCTCCAGCTGGGACCCCTCTCCCTCTCCTCCCTGCCCGCACCTGTGTGCACAGCCCTTGCCTGCAACACCCCCACCCCACTCCTCCACCGAGCCCCGGAGCCCAGCTCTGTCTCTCTGACAATAAAGCATCTTTGAGCTGGGGACACAGCTTCCACTGCTCACTCGTTCATCCTGCAGGTATCTGGCCCCCGAAGTGAGGTCCTCTCGATTGTGAACTTTGGGTGGGTAAGGGGCCCTCCCTAATCCTGCAGCCAGCCCAGAACAAGTATTGAGAAATATTCCCGGATGAGTAAGCCCAACCTGCTTCTCCCAGAGCTGGGTGCATAGTGACCCCTCACCCCGTGAAGAGCTCCTGCTGGAAGCAGGGTTACAACCGAGGACCACAGGCCTAAGGGCTTCTCCCAAGCTCCAGCCCATTTCCTCTTAGAGGGGTGCAGCTCAGAGCTCCCTGCAAGAAAAAACTTGCTGGTGGGCTGCAGGGAGTGAGGGAGCTGACAGGCCCCTTCAGGGTATGATCTCAGCCTTTGGGCACACACCTCGCTCTTGCCGGGAGCCAGCAGCCACTGACCGAGCAGACAGCTGGTCTCTGTTCCGAGCTCCTCTCTAGGTTAGCCGAGGTGTGGTCAGGTCAGCCTCGAATCAGCGACTCTCTGCCCAGTCCTTCATCAGACTTCCTATTTTTCACATTCCTAACTTCGTCTTCGTGTCTGCCTCCCAGGGAAACCAAATGACACAGCTCCTCACTCCAGCCCTGCCATGGTCGTCATAACCCCATTTTCCATATCGAGGGACCCGGGAGGCCGGGTCTCAGCGATGTGCAGAGTTCTCCCAGCTCTATCGCCCTCTTCCTGCTCCCAGCCATGCAGCACGTGTTGCCAGATTTTTCTTCCTAAAATGCCATTTGTGTTTTGTCACACTCCCATCCAGAAACTGGCCATGGTCCCCCGTTGCCCCCCGGGCTGGTCCGTCCCCTGTGTTTGGCGCTGGAAGGCTCCATGAGGATGAGGAACTGGCATACAGTCACACACGTTAGGAAGAAGCATCGGGGGACTTCAGCCAGGCCTGGGGATTATAGAGTCACAGTGCCAACCTGAAAGGGCACCTTTAGGCCGGAGTGGACCCCAGACAGGCTGAGGCCTCTTCTAGCCCTGCGTGACCAGCTGCCGTTCCCACCTGCTGGGAGGAAGGATGAACTTGACCTCTAGGCCCAGAAGGGGGAGGAGCTTTCAGTGTCTGTGCCTGGTCTCACCACCTCTACTGACAACAAGATGGCCTTGAGACAGAGCAGGCGGGCAGCCACCAGCGCCTCGTTCAGTCCGGAGCCTGGACACCGAGGTGCCAGGGCTGGCTGCAGCAGCCTCAGCACCACTTGCCTGGCAGATCACAATTAATCCTTAATCCCCAATTAGGTGATCTCTCCTGCCAGTCTGGCAGGCTTGGGGATGAGGGGGGAGTCGCAGCTTGTCTGGGAGCCATGGTCCACCCTCCCTCCTCCTACCCTCACAGATGGCATTGCTGCCCGAGAAGAAGTCTGTCCCCCTGCAGGGGCTGAGGAGAATGATGGACATGGGCCAGGGGAAGAGCAGACCCTGCTCAAGGTCAGCCTCCCACTGGCCCCAGCTTGGCAGGTGCTATGGTTGGAAGCGGGGACGGGGGATGGTTGTTGGGGAGATTTCAATTGGCTGCCATGTGTCTGCTGGCATCAGAAGTACCCACAGCTCCCCCAAGCCCCCCATATGCCCTCCCACCCCAAAAAGGCTGTTAGCCCAGAAGTTCCAAGCAGACACATCAGGAGCAGGGACCAGGGCTGGAAGGACCAATAAGCAGGCGGCAACTATGTGGAGCCAAGAACCCCTTCCCCCGCCTAAAGGGGGCACCTGCCCTCCAGCTCCGCTGACTGCTGCCAGTTGGAAGAGGCTAGAGCTACAGGATCTCCTGGTTTTCCAAGGGAAGCTGTCAGTTGAGATTTTTACATTAAGTCCACTTTATATATTTTAAATTTTGGCTGCCTGGGTCTTTGCAGCGGCACGTGGGGGCATCTCTCGTTGCAGAGCACAGGCTCTCGAGCTTGCAGGTTCAGTAGCTGCAGTGCTCAGGCTTGGTTGCCCTGCAGCATGTGGGATCTTTGTTCCCGACCAGGGATCAAGCCTGTGTCCCTTGCACTGGAAGGTGGATTCTTAACCTCTGGACCCCCAGAGCAGTCCCAGTTTCACTTTAAATAGTTGGGATATAATGTATGTTCAGTAACATGGATGAATGTATAGCTCAGTGAATTTTTGCATGCATATGCAGCCAGGTAGCCATCACCTGATAAGGATATTAATCCACTTATTTTAGAGTAGTTCCCAGTTTACAGAATTATATTGAAGACAGGACAGGGAGCTCCTGAATACCTCACATCCAGTTTCTCCCATATGTTAGTCAAGGCTCTCCAGAGAAACAGAACCAATAGGAGATGTGACTGTGTAAAGATATATAGTGTTAAGGAATTGCCTCGGGCAATTATGGGCACTGAGCCATCCCCAGATCTGCAGTCAGCAAGCTAGTGATATGGGAGACCTGGTGATACAGTTCCAGTCTGAGCCCAAAGGCCCGAAAACCAGAAAAGTCAGTGTTGGAAGTTCAGTCTGAGTCCTGCTCAAAGGTCAGGCAGGCAAAACTCCCCGCTTACTCAGCCCTTTTATTCCGTTCAGATCTTCACCCACACTGGGAAGAGCCATTTGCTTTTCTTAGTACTCAGATTCAATGCATCTCATCCAGACGCTCCCTCAAGACACTCCAAAATAATGTTGGACCTATGGCCTGGGCACCTCGTGATCTAGTCAGGTCAACACACAGAATGAACCATGATGCTCTAGTAACATCTTACATTAGAATGGTACCTCTGTCACTGGTCAGGAACTAATGAAGTGAAGTGAAAGTTGCTCAGTCATGTCTGACTGAGACCCCACAGTCCATGGAATTCTCCAGGCCAGGATACTGGAGTGGGTAGCTATTCCCTTCTTCAGGGGATCTTCCCAACCCAGGGATCGAAGCTGGATCTCCCACATTACACGTAGATTCTTTACAGTCTGTGCCACCAGGGAAGCCCAATGAACTAATAGTGACGCATTATTATTAAAGACCACATTTTTTTCAGATTTCATCACTTCTTCCCTTGTTCTGTTTCAGAGTGCCTTCCAGGACACCATGTTACACTAGACATCATATCTTTTTAGGGTTCTCTTGGTTGTGATGGTTTTACAGAATTTTCTTTTTTAATTATCTTGTCAGTTTTAAGGAATACCAGTCAGGTATTTTATAGAATGTCCCTAAACTGGGACATTTGTTTGTTTTTATCACAGTTAGAATGGGGTTCTTGGGACTTCCCTGGTGGTCCAGTGGCTAAGACTCTGAGCTCCCAATGCAGGGGGCCAGGGTTCAATTGCCCTGGTCAGGGAACTAGATTCCACATGCCTCAACTAAGACTCAGCACAGCCAAATAAATATTTAAAAAAGAATGGGGTTCTCATCCCAGCATATGAAGGGCCTATACTATCAACATGACATCATTATTGATTTTGATCTTGATCACTTTGCTTAGAGTAGTGTTTCTGTCAGCTTTATGTACTTTAAAATTACTCATTTCATTTTCTTTTTCCTGTTACATACAATCCTGTTAAAGGTCGATTTGTCTCTTCTCCATTTATTTATTTCCTCACTCTTTTTTATATCAATATGGACTCATATTTATTTTATACAAGTTATAATCCAGTACTATTTTATTAATTTTCTTGCTCAAAGTGTTCCACCTTTGGCCATTGAGAGCTCTTTCATTTGGCTCCTGTGCCCCACTGACATACCCCCATCCCTGTAGGGACTTGGGTTTGGGAGTTTTGAGTGTTGTTTTAGCATTTTCTTACTTTCAGGCACTACTAGCTGCTCCAGAATTATCTTGCCTATTTCCTGTCCCAGTCCTAGAGTCAAGCCATTTCTCCAAGGAACTCTGCTTCATTTTATTGGAGAATGGTATTTGAAACCAAGATCCGGAAGTTAAGTTGCTTCTAGGCACTCTAAGCTAATAGAATGAGGATATATATGTATATATATTTACACTAATGTGAATATAAAAAATTTAAAATATTTCTGCATATAACCAACTGTATTTATATCAAGCTAAACATGAGTTCCTATTATCTCCAACTCTAGTCCATTACCACATGGATCATTCTAGCCTCCTCGTCCTCCTTACTTACCTGTAACTTCTCATTCCAACATCGAGAATTGTTAGCCCATACTCCCATGGGAAACCACATCATCAACTAGGGTGCAGTGCTTTTTGTCTTTGTTCTTATGGACTCCACTCATTTCTAATTTCCGGATGATGCTTTACCTACTAAATTTTACCCCTCACCAACTCCTGGCAACCAATACTTTCTTTACCTTCTGTATAAGTCTTCCTTTTCCAGAATGTCATATCATTGGAATCATACTGCATGTGTCTTTTTCAGACTGACTTCTTTTTTTTTTTCATTTATTTTTATTAGTTGGAGGCTAATTACTTCACAACATTGCAGTGGGTTTTGTCATACACTGACATGAATCAGCCATGGGGTTACATGTATTCCCCATCCCGATCCCCAGACTGACTTCTTTCACTTAGCAATATGTCTGTGTCTTTTTGTGGGTAGATAATTTCCTTTTATTGCTGAATAAGAGTCCATTGCATAAAAACATGTTTCTTTTTTTTTTTTAAACATCAGTTTCTTTGTTGACTCACCTGTTGAAAGCCACCTCTACTGGGAAGACTTCTGTGATGTCACAAGGCTGGACCCTTACTCTGAATTCCAAAGGAATTGTCCCTCTGGAATTCCTTGTCCCAGGAATCCACACTGTCTTACTCTACTGTGTGGCTTTACTTCCCTGTCTGTCTCTCTGAGACTAGGATCTCCTTGAGGCCAGAAACCATGACTAGTTCATTTCCATCAGTGTCCAGCACAAGGCCTGAGATGGAGGATGGAGTGAGAAAATGTTGTTGAATGAATAAACAATGTCCTGGGGATGAGAAAAATCTACAGAGCTGGGGGCGGGGAGGGGCACAAGATTTTAAGGAGGAGTCTCGGGAAAAGGGTTAATGTTTGGAGGAGAGTCTAAGATCCAGGGTTGTGAGAAATGAGATTTGAGGGGAGGGATCTGAGTGGAGATATGGATAGGGAAAAGGAAAATGAAACAGTTGACATTTTATGAATATTAATTTAATCCCCACAACAACCCTATGAGTCCCTTGGACTGCAAGGAAACCCAACCAATCTATCCTAAAGGAAATCAGTCCTGAATGTTCATTGGCAGGACTGATGCTGAAGCTGAAACTCCAATACTTTGGCCACCTGAGTCGAAGAACTGACTCATTGGAAAAGACCCTGATGCTGGGGAAGATTGACGGCAGAGGAAGAAGGGGACGACAGAGGATGAGATAGTTGGATGGCATCACCGACTCAATGGACATGAGTTTGAGTAAACTCTGGGAGTTGGCAATGTGACAGGGAGGCCTGGCATGCTGCAGTCCATGGGGTCGCAAAGATTCGGACACGACTGAGCGACTGAACTGAACTGAACTGAATGTCTTCATTTTACAGATGGGGAAACTGAGGCCTATTGAAGTGACTTGCCCAAGGGCAAACAGCTAGCGGACGTGATGTAAGCTTCCAACCATCAGTCTGACCCCTACAGATGGTGCTGTAGTCCAGGATCCTGGACGATCCATTGCACAGGGCCCGGCAAACAGTTCAAGTATTCAAGGTGAGCTGTTCCTGCGATTGTCATGATGAGGCACCGGCATGGGGCTTTCGTGGGGTGGGGTTGGGGGGCAGGTTGAGGAGTCTTTGAAGTCGCCCTTGGACCTTACACCAGCCTAGACCCGAGGTCCAGGCAATTGGAAGGGAGAGGCGCATCACCCGCGTAGGGGCAGGACCCGTTGCCATGGGAACATATGAGGAGGCCTCGGGGAGGGCGCATGCGCGAATCAGGGACAGGTTGTGGAACCGGTGAAAGGTGACGTAAAAGCGCACGGGGTGGGGCGCGGGGCTGGGAACGTCAAAGCCCTGCGTCCTCCGGCACCGAGAGCGGAGGACAGGCGCGCGCGCGCGCGCCGCGGCGGTGACGGCAGCGGCGGCCACAGCCCAGCCGAACAGGGACGGGGCAGCGGGACGCTGACGTACAAAGCAACGTGAGTGAGGTGCGAGGGCGGCACCCGCGCCGGGGAAGCCCGGCTCGGCGCGAACCGCGGCGGACCAGACCCAGCGCTCAGGCTGCCGAAGCCCCGCCCCTTAGGTTTGAGGACTAATCGGATTGAGAGCGCGCCGGCCCGGGCCGCGAACTCTCCAATTGTGGAGGGTGTCGGCCACCGCCCAATCCGAAGCAGACAGGTGCGAGGTCCGGAAGGCGGAGGCCAATCAGCAGCGGTTGCGGCCTGTTGGGGCCGGTCTCTGCCAATGAGGAGGGCCGAGTGACATCTCCGCGCGCCAATTGGGAGTGAAGGATCATTCGTGCCCGCCCGCCCTTCCGGCCCGAGCTCTATTTACCAGGGGCGTGCTGCCGGCCTGCCAATCAGAGCGCGGCTCAGAGGCCAGGCAGCCAACCCGGGAGGAGCGGCCGGCCGGCGTCCGCCGCACCCAGGAGTTGGGGATGTCCTACAAGCCCATCGCCCCCGCCCCCAGCAGCACCCCCGGCTCCAGCACGCCTGGGCCCGGCACCCCAGTCCCGACAGGTGAGGACCCAGCTCCATCCCTGCTTGCCTGCCCGGGCGGTCGAGGTCTCCGAAGAGAAGACGGCCCGAGTTCTGCAGTGTACTAGGCCCGCCGCCGTCCTCGCCGAGCCTCAGTTTGCTGGCCTGTAAAGTGGGCGTGGTCGCGTAAGGGTTGTTGGATGAGCGCAGCGGGAGGGGGCCTGTCCTGAAGTTGAGCGGCCTGGAATGGAGCGTGCCTGTCGAGGGAATCGGGGCGAGTCTAGTCGGAGGCTTGGAGCGCCGGGAGGAGGCGCTTCTGACCAGCGCTGACCGCTTACTCGCTCCTCTTGCAGCTGGAAGTGTCCCATCACCATCGGGCTCTGTGCCGGGAGCCGCTGCCCCTTTCAGACCACTGTTTAATGACTTTGGACCTCCCTCCATGGGCTATGTGCAGGTGAGTGGAGCTGAGGGGTTGCCTGTGGGATAAGGACTGGAGGAGCCCTCTTGGCCTGAACTCACTGCCCTGTTCTCTTTTGACGTAGGCAATGAAACCACCTGGCGCCCAGGGCTCCCAGAGCACTTACACCGACCTGCTGTCCGTCATAGAAGAGATGGGCAAAGAGATCCGGCCCACCTATGCTGGCAGCAAGAGCGCCATGGAGCGCCTGAAGAGAGGTGAGTGAGGAGACAAACACTCAACAATCCTTCCCAAGATAGGGAAGGAAAGACTTCTGGAGGCCGCCTGAGCCAAGCCTAGACGAGGGCCAGGATCACTATCCAGAGAGGCGTTGGAAGTGAACTGAAATTGAGTCAGTTTCTAAGGAAGAATCAGGGAATTTCAGTCAGTCAGTTCAATCACTCAGTCGTGTCCAACTCTTTGTGACCCCATGGACTGCAGCACACCAGGCCTCCCTGCCCATCACCAACTCCGGAGTTTACTGAAACTCATGTCCGTTGAGTTGGTGATGCCATCCAACGTTGTATTTCAGCGGGGTAAATTTGCTGGTTAATGTCTAAACCTCGAATGTCATCGAGTCCCTCATTAGATTATAGTCCCCTTCACTGAAAGGAAAGGGGGTGTGAGGGAGGGGTCTTCCTCTGGAGGGCAGACCTGGAACTATGGAGGGTCACTGAGATCCTGTATGTTACTTGCCCATGCCCACCCCAGGCATCATCCATGCCCGGGCCCTCGTCAGAGAGTGCCTGGCAGAGACAGAGCGGAACGCCCGCACGTAACAGGACTCGACTCCACCTCAGCTTCTGGACCTTTCCTGGCCACTGCAGAGCACCTGCTTCTCCCTGGCCTTCACCCCGAGTTGCACTTCCCGTCCTGGGCTTCCTGTCCTGTGTCCTTTGGTGGGTGCCCTCCAGGATCCAGTGGGATGGCTCTTAACTCCAGTCGGCAGCACTAACTGGAACCCCCGAAAAAGTTAGCAGCGAGGTCACTGTGAATCTCACCCATGACCTGCCAACAGTGTTGATCCAGCTGGAGCTGTCTCCTTTCTGTGGCCCCCACCACTCAGCACTTACCCAGGACTTTTATCCACTTTGCCCAGACCCCTTCTCCCCCAGCAGGGCCTCAGAAGGCCCCTCGCCTCCCTGCCTTTTCTCCTGGGCCATAATAACTCTTTTCTCAGTGTGTCTTTTGCTAAATATGCCCTTTTTATATAAATAAAATATAATTTGGAGTTGTTCTCTCAGCTCGTAGTCTTTTTATTTTATTTTATTTATTTTTATCCGTGCACTGCAGACCCATGCCCCTGCCCTGGAAGCCTGGCATCTTAACCACTGGACCACCAGAGAAACCCACAGTTTATAGTTTCTCTGAGCCTGGTGCTTCTGCTAAGCCTGTGTGGGCCACGAAGAAAGGGAAAGAAGAGACTCGGAGGGAGAAGGGGGTACAGTGAGTGGGAGGGAGGCCCACCGAGCCTAGCTTTGCCTTGCCTCCACTGCCCATTGACCTTGAGTGGGAGCCTGCCCTTCCCGGCCCTCGACCTGCCCCCTGTTTGTGGAAAGAGTTGAACTTCATTCAATAGCTGAGTGCCCTGCCCTGCCCTCACAAGATGCCACCAGGGGGCAGCACAAGGCCTGGGCTGCTTCCACAGCTGGAGGGCTCTGTCTCCAGCCTGAGCCCAGAGGGTTCTTTCTCTGGATGAAAGGTGCCTGGAGGGTGGAAATGCCAGTTCACTTAAGCCCCACCCTCACATGCCTTAACACCCTGACACCCTAAGCTTGGAATCAGCCCTGGGGCTCGGAATACACCCTGTCTCTGAGTCCTGAGAGGGAAGAAAGGGAGCCAGGCTACTTCCCAACCCCCAGGACCTGAGTGAGAACTGGTTTCCCCAGTGGGGGTGAGACCCTGCGCCCCCGCCCTGCACCATCCCAGTGCCCTCTAACCAACTGGGTGTGGTCCCAAGAGCCCAGCCCTAGGCCCTGGCAGCCATTGGCCAGACTTGTGAACCCGGAAGATACAGGTGGGGAAAGCGCTGGGGCCCATTCCGGGAGGAGCCCCAAGACTGGAAGTGAAAGTGACTGCAGCCCTCTGAATGACCTGGAGGTCTGGGACACTGGAACGCCACCGGCTAGGCCAGGGATGTCAGAGACCAACCGCTGGCTAGACTTGGGACGGGGAGGCGTTTCCCTCACCCTGGGCCCCGGCTTCCCAGGGCCTGGGAAGCTGGGGATGGGACTCTTGTCGTATTTCCATAGCACACTGGAGGGCCGGGCCAGGGTGGAGGTAGGATCCTAGCGTGTCTGGGGATCCCAAAGAACACAGCCGGACTAAGCAGCGCCAGCATTTGGAGAAGGGCTTCTTCCCCCGCCGCCCTGGGGAAGGAAGCAAGGTTGGGGCCGCCCTCCGCCGCCGCGGGCGGGGCTGCCCGGACCCCGCCGGGGTGGGGAGGGCCGCGGGCCCAGGAAGGGGGCGGGGCGGCCGCAGTGACGCGGCGGGCGGCGGGGAGGGACAGGAGGGGTGCCGGCGGGCAGACCCGGAGGAAGATCGGGGCCATGGGCCCGCGCTGCGCCTCCAGAGGGTCCGGCCACTGCTGGAATCCGCGGCCGGGGCTGGGGGCGCTCGGGGCTCCGACCCGCGGCCCGTCGGCCCCCGCCCGTACCGGGTGAGGGGCGTCCACCCTAGACTAGAGGTGAGCTGGGACATTGGAAGGCGGGCCGACCGAGAGCACGGCGGGGGACGGGGACGCCGGAGAGCAGAGGGAAGTGGGGGCAACGGGGCCTCTCGCTTGCTCAGTGGGTGCGAGGTGGGGGTAGGGCGGCAGCGAAGTCGGGGCGCAGGTGGACGGAGCGGGGCTTGCAGGGCGGGGGCCCGTAGGGTACTTTTAGCCTGAGCCCGAAGAGTGGTCAGCCCTGGAGAAGGAGAATGAGGCAGCTGCATAGACGAGTGCCGGGGGTCCAGGACCGATGCGAGGAAGGGGGAGTTGGGGACTGGGCTGCCCGCCAGGGTGGGGAAGACAGGTCTCGGGGCGGACGTGTTATCTGGTCTTTGAAGGTAGTTTCGAGTGCGGGGAGAGGGGGATGCACGGGGCTGCTCCGCGGAGAGACACGCGGGGGACAAGGTTCTAAGTGGACGTCCAGGAGTAGGGGACACGGACCGACTCGGGGAAAGGGATGCAGGGGGCGGGCCCCGAGGGGCCGGTAGTGGAAGGCGGCCCGGAAGGAGGGGCCCCGGGGCTCCCGGGGGCGGGTCCCCAAAGGATGCTATTCCGAGGGACTTAGGACGCCGCTGCGGCCGGAGAGGCGAGGCTGGCCCGCCACCCCGCCGGCCACCTCCCTCGGCTCCTGGGGGCCCGCGTCAGCGCGCGGTTGCCATGGCGATGGGAGGGCGGGGGGCGGGGGCTGCGCTGAAAAGAGGTCAGCGCTCAGTCTCGCGGCGGCTCCCGGCCCCCCGCGGCGCTGGCTGCCGAGCTGGGCTCGCCGCTGCCTGCCCTGTGGCGAGCCCGGGCATGGGGTCCCCGCGCCTGAGCCCCTCGGCCCGCGCGCGGGGCTCGGGGCCGCGCGCCGCCGCCCCGCACTGACGGCCGCGCGGTGCCCTGCGCCAGGAGCCGCGGAGGCCGCGCGCGGCCGACCGAGCGCCTTCAGGATGCTCATCAAGGAGTACCACATCCTGCTGCCCATGAGCCTGGACGAGTACCAGGTGGCCCAGCTCTACATGATCCAGGTGAGGGCGGTGGCAAGTAGGAGACCAGGAGGGGATGGGGGCATGCTTCATGCTGGGTATCCGCAGGAGCGCGCAGGCCACACCTGGGACAAGGGGCCGGGCCCAGCTCAATCCCCCTCCAGGCCAGCCCCGGGGCTTGGGAGGGCTCAGGCCGGACGGAGCAGGAGAGCGTCCCCAGTCGGATGTGGGGGAGGGGTGGGGTGGTTAAGGACCCTGTGAAGAGGGATGGAAGGGCCTGGTGGTGCCTCCCCACCCTGAGTGCCCAACCCCTGCTGAACGCTCAGCCCCCATCTGATCTCCTTTAATCCTCCTTAGAATCCGTAATCCTCTGGGGGTAGGGAGAGGAGTGCATGAGGAGGCAAGAGTGGGGGGCAGAAAGTGAGGAGGGGTCCCAGGGGGTAGAGAAAGACTAGGAGGGGTTTCCCAGAGGGTGAAGGATCCTGGCCATCCCCGGCAGTCAGGGAGATGGGCTGAGGCTCAGGCCCTGAGACTGTCAGAGGAGCAGGCAGGGACCCCAGAGGGTGAGGTCTGGGCTGACAGGAAGCAGGCAGGGAGCCAGGCTTGGGTGGAGAAGCGTGAGCCAGGGCAGGCGCCCGGGGAGGGGAGGAGACTGGTGCCCATTCCAGAGGCGTCCCCTGAAATGTGGGACCAGAGTCTGAGCAGGCAAGAGGGCTGGGATCTGGCCTCAGAGGGTTGGGTGGGCCAAGTTCAAACTCCAGAGCTACATAAGGACAGGATCTGAGTGCTCTCCAACTAGGAGGGGTGTGGCAGGAGCTGGTGTTGGGGTCCTAGAAAGGCAGGGATCCCTTTTACTCTCCTTGATTCTTCCAGCCTATTCACCCTGGCCCCTTGCTGGCAGGGCATGCAGCCTGTCCCCCTCAGGAGCTTACACATGCTCTCTCTCTGTCTGAAATACCCCCCCCCACCCCATATCTGCTCAGCACCCTCCTTTCCCCCCCAAGTCATCTTCAAATCATGGTCATGTTATCTTTTCAGTGAGGCCTTCCCTGACCATCCTATCAAAACTACAACCCCCAGTTCTCTCCACCTAACCCTAGTCTATGCTTTCTTTTTACCATAGCACTTAGAACCCTCTAAGATGCTTTTTTTTTGTTTTCTGTCTATTATGTCTCCCTCCATTGGAGTGTACAGTTAGTTCCACAAGGGCAGACAGGGGTCTTTACTCTGTACATCAACAGATCCCAATGAATATAAGCCCAGACAGTGCCTGGAATAGAGCAGACAGCAAATACTTGAATGACTAAACAAGTCCTGGCTTGCAGAACCCCAGAGGGGACCGGTCAGAGGCTGTAATCCTGACCCCAGGAGCTACAGGGGAACAGGATGGGATTTCAGAGAGCTAGAAAGGCTGGGACTCAGGCCTCAGAGCTGTGCAGGGGACCAGGCCTAGCTAGGGAGCCCATCCCAGGAGCGGAGCTAGGACTAAGCTGCCCGTCCTCCTCTTGCCCTGGGCTGCAGAAAAAGAGCCGAGAGGAGTCGAGTGGCGAGGGCAGTGGCGTGGAGATCCTGGCCAACCGGCCCTACACGGATGGGCCGGGCGGCAGTGGACAGTACACACACAAGGTGTACCACGTGGGCTCCCACATCCCAGGGTGGTTCCGGGCACTGCTGCCCAAGGCCGCCCTGCAGGTGGAGGAGGAATCTTGGAATGCTTATCCCTACACCCGAACCCGGTGAGTGGGTGGGGCGGGTCAGGGGCCAGGAGGGGAACGGCCCTGATGGACCCACTGGTGACCCTCACCCCTGCCCTCTGCCCAGGTACACCTGCCCCTTTGTGGAGAAATTCTCCATTGAAATTGAGACCTATTACCTGCCCGATGGGGGTCAGCAGCCCAATGTCTTCAACCTGAGTGGGGCTGAGCGGAGACAGCGCATCTTGGGTGAGACCTACAGCTAGTAATGACCCCAAAGCCCCGCTCAGGCCACCTGCTACCTGGACAGGTGGCCTCTGACAAGTCCCAGGCTCAGTTCCTGGCCTAGCCTTTCTGTGCGTGAAAAGCTCCCCTCCCAGTCCCGAGGTGGGGGAGGAGTAGCACAGGCT